AATCATCAAAATACAGAACAGAGGGAGGTACTGATATATGGGGCCTAATTCCCATTACGAACTCTAAATACGAAATTCGAAAATCATCAAAATACCAAATTTTGGGATGTACCGTTATATGGAGGCTATAGAAAAATGTGGGCCTGCATACGCAATTTTTGTTATAGGCTGTACCCAACCATTACGAATTCTAAATACGAAATTTGAAACAACTCCGGTGAACAATGTCTCTAAAATCGCCAATATACCAAATATCGGGGGTACCGTTGTATGTGGGATATACGATATGGTAGACCTATATAGACGTTTCTTTTCCAGGGGATTTGCAGACAATTTCATTGAAAAAATTGACTACCGAATATTGGGAGGTACCGTTATATGGATGCTATACGAACGTGGACTTGCATCAATATACCAAATATGGGGGGTACCGTTGTATGATGGCTATACGACATCGTGGACTTATATAAACAATTCTTGTCCAGGGACTAAAGTACTCAGAAAGAGCTTCTTGTGCGGATTTTCAGACAATTCCATTGGAAAATGTGGCTAAAATCATCAAAATACCAAATATCGGGGGATACCGTTGAATGGGGGATATACTATATCGTGGACCGATATAGCCCATCTTCGAACTTGATCTGCCTGCTTTTGAGATATGAAGGTGGTTTTGGCAATGTGTACTAAGTGTGTGAAATGTACTAAATGGTACCAAGTTTGGAAGAATTTGATTTAAGATGAACAGATGAAGCGGGATTTTTAAAAGTTTTGTAATGGAGATTTATGTTTGTGATAAAGAGGTGGTTTTGGAACTGTGTACTACAAATGCACGAAAAGAAATATATAGTACCATATTTGGTACAATTTTGGTATTGGGTGAAATCTGAAATTTGGGTCGCTGCTCATGTGTAAATGAACGAAAAGTACTGAATGGTGCTATATTTGATCTTGGATGAAGGGAGAGGACTAAAATTCTGAAATTTTATATTTGGATAACTCTTTGGTATCTCAGGTTGAGATTTGGAGGTGGTAGGAAGATGCGTCATATAATTGTACGAAAAGTACTTAATGCTACTAAATTTAGTATTGGGTGAAGGCAAGGGAGTGGAATCCTTAACCCTTAAACTGCTGTCCGACTGAACAATTGAAAAGGACTAACAGTACTTTTTGCTGACGAAGTAGCGGAATTGTTTCAAAGTTGGTATCAACGCCTATGGGCAAAAATTATCTATTATTTATTTTCTGGCTAAAATAGTTCTCTCAGTACGAATTTCACATTTCGCTATTTTTTCTAGTTTCGCTGCGAGTCAATCTTTAATTTTTTCCAAACTTGGAAATTTCTTTTAAAAGAGCTATTCCTTCTGAAATTACGACAAATTTCTGGAAGTCAATTTTCAACTTTCCTCTCATCGAAATTTATTTTATGGGAAAAATTTGTCGTCAAATGGAAAAATTTAAATAGAAAAAATAAACAAACTGGATGATGTTTTTTTTTCTCTCTAGTTTGCATTTTGGATAAACTGAAAAGTTTGCCATGCCTTAATGCCAAACTGTAACAAAAAGCAAAACTGAACTGAACTGAACACTTGCAGCAACAGCAACATCAGGAAACTACAACAACGATGCCATCCATGACCATGACAACGACAACAACGACGAAAGTAATAACATGACTTATAGTTTGGCCAAATCGTTTTGACTGGCAGCTAGCTAGCTGGCTGGCTGGCAGCATACAAATGTTGGTTTATGGCCAGAGTGTTGGTGGAAGATTGAAGTGACATTCTGTTGTTTTTTCTTTTTTTCAATCTAAACACAGTGTTTTTTTTTTTTCAAAGTGATATGTAGGCAGCAACAGGGACGTGGTTTGAAGTATGAAATTCTAAAATAGTATTTTTGGAGCACATATCATCATCACTTCTGTAGAGGTCCCAAATGACATGTTTTGCAAATAAAGCCCTGCCAATGTTGTTGATAAACACTCTGGTCAGTTGAGCCTTCGAAGTGCAACAACCATCATGGTCAACCAAATTTTTCCACCAAAAAGCCCATCGAATCACCGATTAAAAAGATTCATAGACATAGTGCCAATTTTATTGGCATAACTAAATTGGCTATCTGTTTCAGGCTTTCGTGTTTGGTTTTTATATCCTACACAACATAGTGGTAAGGGTATTGGGTCTTTGTGAATTTATTTGTAACATGTAGAAGGAAGCGAGATAGACCCAAAGTTACTTTTGAGGATCGTCATAGAATCACTTTCTGTGTCGATTTATGCATTTCCGTCCATCCGTCTGTCTGTGTTTTTTTGTGAACAAAATGCAGGTCACTTTTATTATAATTTTCCAAACTATATTAGTTTGGCCCAAGGACGACCCTATAGCCCCCACATATAGTTTCAACCGATTTCGGATTAATTGTGCACGAAATGTTCAACATCAGTCCAAATGACCTGAATTTTGGCACATCCGACAGAATTCGGACTAGAAGCAAGTACATCTGATTTGGTGAAAATCGGTTCAGATATAGTTGTAGCTCCCATATATATGTTCCATTCGATTTGGCGTTAAAATCTTTCACATGGGTAATACCCACTCCATACAGCACATACAGCTCAGAAATACCTCTGCCAAATTTTATCAATATCGGTTCAGATTTGGATATGGCTCCCACATATACCTTTATCCGATTTCAGGTTCATTGTGCATCAAAAGGCTAATATCAGCCCAAATGCAGTGAATTGTGGCTGAAGCTAAAATTTTGAAATTTTGCACGAAAGTCAGTTTCGATGCATAGGCCTGTCATAAGGTTGGAAAATCCGATCCAAAGGTGTACAAAAGTACTAAAATGTACTAAAAACTAAATACTTTGTGTTGGACAAATGAAATGAACTAGAATTCTCATTTGAATGTGGAATTAGAATCACTGATGGAGTGTAGGATAGATGTAGCAAAGGGTTTTGGAAACTTCGGACTTTAAGGTTGCGCTTTTGGAAATGTGTACAAGTGCACGAAAAATACTAAGTAGTACTATATTTCCTACAATTTGGTATTGGGTGAACATAAACTGGACATATAGACGTGGTTTTGGAAATGTGTACTATAATTGTACGAAACGTACTGAATGGTACTAAATTTGGTATTGGGTGAAGGGGTGTACATTCTTCATCAATTCATCATTTTGATATTTAGATTACTGATGGCTTGAGATTTGGCGGTGGTTTGGAAATGCGTCTTTTATTTGTACGAATAGTAAAAAATGGTACTAAATTTGGTATTGGGTGAAGGGAAAGGCCTGCAATCCCCAAAATTTGATATTGAGGTCTCTGTTTGTATCTGGAATTGAGATATGAAGGTGGTTTTGGGAAATGTGTACTATAATTGTACGAAAAATATCAAATAGTACTATATTTGGTATGGGGTGAAGGCATGGAGTTGAAATCCCGAAATTTGATATAAGTGTCACTGTTGCTGTCTGTAGTTAAGATATGGAGGTGGTTTTGGGAATATATACTATAGTTGTTCGAAAAGTACTAAGCGGTAGGAAATTGATTATTGTGTGAAGGTATAAAACCGAAATCCCGAAATTTGATATTGAGATCTCCGTGGGTATCTGAGATTCAGATTTGGGGTTGGTTTGGGAATGCGTCCTATATTTATATGAAAAATACTAAATGATACTAAATTTGGTATTGGGTGACAGGATAGGGCTGAAACCCCAAAAAGTTATGTTGCTATAACCTTTGGAGTCAAGGATTGAGATATGAAACAAATGAGTACTAAAATTATACAAAAAGTAATACATTTGGTATTTAGTGAATATATAAAGCTGGAATGCAGAAATTTGATATTTAGGTCACTGTTGGATTCTGAGGTTTACATATGGAGAAGTGGAAATAGTTTTGAACAGAAAAATCAGATGTTGGTCCATTCTGAATGGAGTCGGATGTTAATTTCGCCTTTTACGAGCGCCATTGATGTTCACAACGTTGATCCCTTGTGGGGGAGGTACCAGAAAGAATGGTTCGACACCTCCCAACTTTATAACAGATCTTGTGTTAATAGAAATAAATGAGATGTGGCAAGTCCAAATGGAATCGAATGTTAATTTCGCGTTTTATGAACTTCATGGGTATTTCCCCTTTGTGGGGGAATGGACGGATATATTCCATCTTCAAATCAGATCTTGTGTTAGTGGAAATAATGCGATGTGTAAAATATGCAGAAAATCGGATGCTTTTGACCCTCTTTGGGGGAGGTACTTGATGGAGTGGACCGACATTGTCCATTTTTGCATCTGGCCTAGCACTGGACACATGGGCGGATGGACACATGGATTTGGTCTAAAGAGACCCAGGGTCAAAAAATCGTTATTTCGATGAGGCACGTTTTGGCCTTATCAAATGAAATATACCTTCTCTAGCCATCTGCCTGAGGGTATAAAATGGGTCACTTCGTTCCTTGTTGGATGAGGCCTCTATGTAAGGAAACCGTTAGTCATATTTTCCATCAACATTCTTCCATTTTTGGTATTTCTAATACTTAGTATGTAGAAATCTTCCATGTAGAAAATTTCCTATAAAGGCCTGCGTTTTCGTAAAACCCTCATATAAAAGTCCCCCTAATTATAACTATGCCTATCCTTAAAATTGTTAATTTGATAAATTATTGCTAAAATTTCAAAATTTTATGTACTCTCCTACATGATGAAGGATATTAAAAGCTATGCAGAGCACCCAGTTGTCTCTGATATTAAAACTACCAAATGAAACCCCTGAAATTAATCAATTTAAACCATCACCTAAATCATATTCACAATAAATTATTCTCAATAACTAAAAAATGAAATCGCCATAAAATACCCCTCTTAAAAAGCTATAAAAAGCGTCAAACAATGTATGGTCATTTCACTTCGACGCCAAAAAGTCTTACAAAAAAAAGTGTAATGGTCTCTGCGAAAAACCCCACTTCAAGTCGTGCCTTTTTTCCATACAATTTACTTACTATAAATTTTCCATTGAATCCGATTCCACTTTGCACTCAACGTTGATGAGCCAACCTTCAAAGTGGTAATGTTTGCATAATTTCACCATAGCGTCCACAATATTGTCTATCATTTCCGTTGATGCCAGAATGTCGTGTAAACGTTTGGCTCCATCCGAACCCTCCGTTATGAAAGTACCTGCAAAGAAGACGAAAGAGAACGGAGAGATGAAAAAGAATGTTGAAATAATGTAAATTTTGTTTTTTTTTTTTTTCTTTAATGAAATGCAATACACTTGCAAATTGAGCATTACACGTGAGTGTGTGTGTGTGTTTGTATATCGATGTTTAAAGGATTGAAGATAATAACCCAAAGAACAAATTTGTGCAAGACATGGGAGGTTGGATATTTTTAGCCAAAATTGAATTTAATTACAAATGTTGAATTGAATTTAATTTTTATATTCAAATTCCTCGAAATTAATCCAAGATATATATCTCTTTTCAGCATCCCCGTTGTGTGAATTCCCAGGAATATTTAAGGTATGAAATTAAAACACCTTTTTAATAGCATGTTTCATTAATAGTATGTTTCAAATATGTATTAGTATTGAATATTTTAGCCCAATTTAGCACGAACAACTACAAATGCCACACTTTTTCCAAATTTATTTGATATTGGCTGGAACAATGAAGACCTCTGCTAAAGTCTATTTTTAAACCCTTAGGCTGGAAATACATAAAGCGTATATTTGACTGGCTTCTTCGTAGATGAACAAAGGAGATTTAGGTTGACTTAGTTCGATTTTGGTCCTAGGCTCCTTTGTTCAATTCCGAAGACGCCAGGCGACGACTTAAGCCAGCCAGATAAGCGCTTTATGTATTCCCACCTTTAGCCATATGGCTGGAGAGGGTAGATATCATTTAATACGTCAAAAACGTGCCTTATCGAAATAACAGTTTTAGATCCTAGGTCTCTTTGGGCCAAATCCGTTTCAGGACATTTGGAGTCTATCCAGCGATGTCTGTATGTCTGGAGTATCCGATTTGATCCACACTTGGTACCGAGTTCGAAAATGGACAATATCGGTTCACTTCTTCCCTTTCCTCCCCCAAAAAAATCGAAATTTTCAAAAAATATTTTACTGCACTGAAAGATAAACTTTAATCCGATTTTGCTCCAACTTTGCCAATCCTAATATTTGCATCAGTGCTAGGTCAGATGCGAAAATGGACAATATCGGCCCACTCCATCAAGTGACCCCCTACAAAGAGTCAACATTTTAAATAATTACAACTCTTATAAAATGTAATTTAAGAGTCCGATTGTATTCAAATTTCATACATCCCAATATTTTTATTAACCCCAGGTCTGGTGTTAAGATGGAATACATCTACTCCTTTCGGTACCTTCCCCACAAAGGGCGAAAACTTAATGAAACACGAAATTAACATTGGATTCCATTCAGACTTGGCACATCTCATTATTTCCATCAACACAAGATCTGTTATAAAGATGGTAGAGTTCGGACCATTCCTTTTGGTACCTCCCCCACAAAGGGTCAAAGTTCAGAATAATAAAAACGATCGTAAAATCCGAAATAAGCATCCGGTCCTCTTTATATTTCGCACATTCCATTATTTCTACTAATACAAATTCTGCTGTGAAGAAGGGATATATCGGTCCACTCCTTCTGGTACCTCCCACACAAAGGGTCAAAATTTTGAATATCCACGAAACTCATAGCACGCGAAATTTACATTCTATTTCATTCAGATTTACTACATCTCAATATTTTCTCAACACAAGATCTGTTGTAAAGATGGTGGAGATCGGACCATTTGTTCTGGTACCTACCCCACAAAGGGTCAAAATTTTGAATAACCAAAACGATCATAAAATCTGAAATAAGCATCCGGTTCTCTTCAAGTTATACACATCACAATATTTTTATTAACCCAAGGTCTGTATTTCTCTTAACCAGAAATCTGATATGAATATGTAATTTATCGGAATTTATGATTTTCATGGATTTCCTTCTATATTTTGCACATATCAATATTTTATCTGTATTGGATGAAGTATGAAAATGGAATACTTCTGTTCGCTATAGCTGATACCTCACGCATATTTCCACATTTTCCAAAAATTTACACATGTCTGACATAAAGTATCGGAAGAAATCTAACACGCTGTAATATTTATATCAGTCTTAGGTCAGATACGAATTGGACACTATTGGTCAATTGCTTCGGAACCTCCCCCATAAAGGATCAACATTTTGAATAATCATAACTCAAGGCTAGAGGTATGCATCTGTCACCAGAACCGTCTGAACTATTTTACTTGTTACTCCAAATTCCTTTAATTACAACCTGAACAATAAAGACTAATTTAAGATGAAATTTCTCTCTGGGTATCGCCGTTTTTTGCATCCATCGGCATGAAAAAGCATTTAAGGCAATCTGTTTGCATACAAGTTGCCACTACAAATTTACAAATATGTACATCAGTCAGTGTTTAAATATTGTATGTGGTGTCGATTCATCTACACTTGCGCACACACACACACACACATACAAAACAAAATAATGACGAATGTTAATTAAAAAATGATAAAAATCTACATATAATATGGATTTATACGCACTTAATTTTTTTTTTCTTTTGAAAATATCATAAATATGAAATGTAAATGATATTGGATTTATTTCTGATCCATTTGCAAAACGTAAAACAAGTAGGTGGCAGAGCTGGCCATATAAAGGTCATATATTTACTTCTGGGAAGTGTATGAAAGGAAATAAATAAGATGTGGAGGTTTCATCTGAGGAGCGTAGCGTAATTACTATGGAATATTGCAAAATTACTACAGGCTGATGGGAATGACTGGACATTTCGCGGCTTTGACGACAGATATATGTATACCCTCAGTTATTGTCCGTTTATTTAAATACGTTTTAAGTTGCGTTAGAATTATTCATACTGTTGACCGTTTATGGCGGAAGTTTTCAAGGAGAGGGCCAATATTATTCATTTCGTGGACTATATCGACTAATTCCTTCACCTTATGTGAGATATGTGGCTGATAAAATTCATATTTACATCTGATCTCTGGTCAAGAGAAATATTGAAATGTACCAAGTTTGAAGATAATCTCTGGCTTGTTTCGCAAGTTATGAGATATATAAAATTGGGAAAATTGTGACCCTTGGTGGGTAAAGTAGCATAAGGGGTGGCCCGATATCTATCATCTTCACATCAGAACTTACTTCAGTAAAAATATTGAGATATGTGCAATTTTGAAGGAAATCGGATGCTTATTTCGCATTTTATGAGCTTTATGGTTATTCAAAATATTGACCCCTTAATGGGGGAGGTACCAGAAGGGGTGGACTGATATATTCAATCTTCACACCCGATCTTGAATTAATAGAAATATTGGGCTGTCCCAAGTTTGATTAGATTCCTTATCTTATGGTTATGTCGCGTTCATTCAAAATTGTAACCCCATGTGAGGGAGGTATCGGAAGGAGTGGAGGGCTCAATATCATCTTTACAAAAGATCTAGATTTGGTCAAAATATTGAGATATGCGAAATATGAAGACATTCGGACTATTCTTTCACACTTTATAAGTTTTGTGATTATTCAAAATATTGAATCCTTTTGGGGGAGGTACTAAAAAAGTGGGAGGATCATGTCCTTTTTCACACCTGAAATGACACGGATAAAAATATCAGGATTTACAAAGTTTGCACAAAATTGGATGATCCTGTCTTGTTCTATAAGGTAAAAAAATTCTGTGAAAATTATGACCTTTTGCGGGGGAGGTACCAGAAGTGGTGAAGCGATATATGCCTTTTCCGAACTCAATCTAAATTTTGTAATAATATTACGATGTACCAAGTTTGAACCAAATCGGATACTCCCTTCGAGAGCCTGTCATGCACCCAGACAGAAGAACGGACACCCCTAGATCGACTCCAAATGTACTGAAAAGGATTTGGTCGAAGACATAGGTTATAAAACCGTTATTTCGTTGAGGCACATATCAAATGATTAATACCCTCTGCAGCCATGCGGCTAAGGGTATAAAACAGTAGAATAGGCTGGTTAGAATGAGTAGTTGACTTTTATAAAAACCGCTACTCATGGAAGACTTTCATCCAACACTCGCTGAAGGTTCGACATTATTGTCACTTGACTAAATTCTATCGGATCACATAAAGTTTAACACCCACTGATGGTGTGAAACTTGATTGCTTTCGGACCGACTGACTATCGACGTTTATAGTCAGCGGAATACAATTAAATCCACTTGGAATTTCCAACACCATAGACAAACGATGCACTGTTGCAAAGTTAAATGTTAAGAAAATTTGCAGAAAATTCGGAAAATTTTCTAAAATTATAGGGAAGAAGGTTTTTTTTAACAAACAATAGGAGCAGTCCGATATTGTCCATTTTCGTATCTGAGCTAGCACTGATAAAAAATATTAGGACTTGCAAAGTTTGTACAAAATTGAATGCTCCTTTCTTGTTCTATGAGACAAATTATTTTCTATGGAAATGTTAAAATTTTGTGGGAAAGCGTACCAGATTTAGTGAACCGATAATGTCAACCTCCGAACTCGATCTAAATTTGATAAAAATATTACGATGTACCAAGGATACTCCCTTCGAGAGTAATCGTGAGCACCAGCCAGCCGAAGAGGCACAGACGGAAGGACACACCTAGATCGACTCCAAATGTCGGTTTTGGCCAAATGATATATAGCCTCTGTAGCCATATGACTAAGGGTATAATAAAAAGTATTTCTAATACACATCGTTTAATTCAATCATTTCTTTTAAGAGATTTTTAAGATTTCGTTTGTGAAATTAGGATAATGAGCAAAAATTCATCAATTACACTGTGTGCGTAATTTTTTACTTTACAAATTATTAGCAGCTTTCTGAAGCAAAGATTCGTTGCTCATGTTTTTCCTCACAGAATTTGTGGCCTTCATGTCCAAATGAATCTTTTTGTGAGGGTCATATTTTCTCTCTGAGACGGACTTAAAACGGTTTGCAAGATATAAGCATCACAAATGGTACCTTTGGACATGAAGGCGCCAAACTTTGAGAACCTCTAACGGCAAAAGTGATGAGATAGGGACTTCTCTTGGTTGGTCATCCATCATATTGCGGTATTAGATTATGGATAATAATACCTAATGGGAAATGTACAGCCACTTTTTTTGTAATGTGCGATTTTTTCTATATTACATCTCTCAACACTTCGATGTTAAACACAAAACATAGCCAATGTATTAAATTTTCAAACAGGATATATAATTTTTTAAACATGTTAAAATCCTATTCTCACAAAGGAAGTATGTGTGAAAGACGACTAATTTTTCAATAGCTTTTTCTTCGCCAATCCAAACACTTACCCAATACAGAGACACCATGTTTATGGGCAGCATTTATCCAACCACAAGGTGGTATTGTGATATATTTATGACTAAAATAACAAAAATAATCCACGGCTGACCAGTGATAGAAACGATAGTCATCATATTTCTTCGACGAATGATAATGTCTGCAAGGAAGATAAGAACAAACAAAGTTAAAAGAACAAAACATAATTTATACCTTAACACCACTTACCTGTCTTCCAAGTAATTGCCCATCATGTCATGGCACAGCAAGACCTTACGTCGATTATGATTTCCAATTGGTTCACGATAATTACTAATCAAATTAAACTGCCTCTGTAGATAGACCGGTGAGGATCTGGGTTTCTTGGGCGTAACATATTCATGCCAATTGACATCTTTGCTGCGCACATTGAATGCCAATAACTGTTCATTGGTGTGAATAGCTTCAGCTTCTAATTTATCTGCAATAGACAATGGAATGGACATGGTTTTAGTTGTCACTTTTAGATTTTCGAATACTCAAATGGATGTGGATTTTTTTTATTTATTTTAAATACGTATTGTTTTGATTAGTAACAAATGTAATGTGAAACTATTTGAATGGAAAAGAGGAACAAGTGAATACACCACCACTACCACTACTATTTCCCCCATTTCTACTTCTATTGTGTTCTATCGTTTTCTTATCATTTTAAGTTTTCTGTTCTATGAAAACCATGCATGTGCAGTCTGCCGTCTCGAAAACTTTGATTAATAAAAACGAATTTTGCATAAAACTATTGCAAACTATGCAGCAACACATGCAAACTGTATAAAATATCAGAAACCATTGAATGTCTGCTGGCTTATCGAAACACAGTGGTTTCTGAGGGAGGAAAACTGTCTGACAATGTTAAATATTTCTGTATATGGAAACGCTGTCATAAATAGGGATATATGTTTTATATGGAAAATGACTGTTGTTCAAAATCACATTCCAAATTTGAAAATGGAGCTATTTTCACAGACCTCTTGGGGTCAAATGTTTGCATGCGATATTTCGATACGGTTATTCCTATATGCCCTTTATACCCTCTGTCATATGCCTACAGAAGGCATATAAAGGGTGATATAAAAAAACTGAAATCAACTTCAGACTGCTTATTATTATTTGTTGAGAATTTTCCGGAAAAAAAGTTTTTCGTGATGGAATTCAAGCGTGATAGTGTGATTTCCTTATATTTAGCTGGAAAACCACAAGTGGCTATCGTTAGAGCACACCAGCATTTAAATGTGAATAAATCTTTTGTGTCTCATACAACCGATCGTTACCATAATACTGGTAGCGTAGCCCGACGTCAAGGAAGTGGACGGAAGAAAACAGCAACATCAGCAAAAATGGTCCGAAAAGTAAAGAAGCGACCTCATCGAAATCTGCGTCGCAGTGGCCGAAAAATGGCTCGTGAGCTGAACATATCTCAATATTCCATTCGGCAAATATTGAAAAATGAGCTCAGGGTAAAGCCATTGACATTCCAAAAAGTGGAAGAACTTACACCGCAACTGAAAGAAAATAGACTCAAAATAGCTAAAGAGTTGCCTCGCTTGGCCGAAAGTGGTGAACTGCCGAATTTGGTTTTCTCCGATGAGAAAACATTCGTTGTCCAGCAGTTTGTAAACAATGAAAATTATCGTGTTTACTTGCCAAAGAGGTCAGCTGAAAATTTGCACCTTCGGTTGGCCACCAGAACTCAAGCGCCGGTCATGATGATGATGTGGGCCGCCATAACAGCCGATGGTCGCTCTCCGTGGCATCAGAATAAATGCCAAATATTATCGCGAAAATATTCTGGAGGGTGTATCAAAGCCTTGGGCACGCAAATATTTTGGCCGCAGACCTTGGACATTCCAACAGGACTCAGCACCATCGCACTAAGCACGCGCCATCCAAGAATGGTTACAAAATGAGGTTTCTCGGTTCATTTCCAGCGCACAATGGCCACCAAAATTTCCGGATACCAATCCGTTGGACTATTGTGTCTGGAGTATTTTGGAAATCAAGGTTGGCACTAAAAAATACCAAAGTGTCGATCAACTCAAGCAAGCGCCTCGCCGGGAATGGACCAAAATACCGCAGAGCAACATTCGGACAGCGTGTGACGGTTTCATTAACAGTTTAAAGGCCATAATACGTGCCAAAGGTGACCGATTCGAATAAATCTAAACTTATTCCAAAATTTAATGCTGTTTCCGACATTTTTTGCTTTCATTCAATAAAATTTAAAAAAAAATGTAAAAACCATGGCGTTTGACTTTTATTTATCTCATCCTGTATATTATTTGAAGCAAAAAAGTGCCACATCGAAATAGCGGTTTTAAACCTAGATCTCTTTCGACCAAATCCGTTTCAGGACATTTGGTGCTGATCTAGAGGTATCAGTCCGCCTGTATGTCGAACTGGTTGGTGGGAGTATCCGTTTTGGTCCAAACTTGATATATCGTAATAATATTGTCAAACTTAAATCGAGTTCGGAGATGGACAATATAGCTCCACTCTTTCTGGTACCTCCTCCACAAAAAGACAAAATTTTTACAGATAATTATTACTTCATAGAACAAGAAAATGGCATCCAATTTTGTTAAAATCTTGCAAATCCTTATATTTGTATCAGTTCTTGGTCAGGTTTGAAATTTCGGGGGTCAAATTCCCCATCTTCCACATTTTTTAACATTTTTGGATTAAGTTTTTCTGAGATCCTAAAATAAGTAGGGATTCGGGTAATTTTACTGGTAACACCTTGGAAAGCAAGGTATATTAAATTTTTCGTTCCGTTTGTAATAGACCCCAAAAAGTTTATATGTATAGTCAAAAAAAATTCTAATTCGATTTCCGTCTGTTGAAATCATGAAACAGTCCACATTATTTAACGTAGAGCTTTGAAATTAGGCAAAATAGTTTGTATAGTGTCTAGAATGGTTGGTATTGAAAATGAGATATATCGGTCCACGTTTTAGCATAATCACCATGTAACGATATGGACATTCGGTATTTTAATGATTTTTGTCACATTTTTCCACTGAATTATTTGTTATTGAGAGTTTCTAACGGTTCTTGTAAGGTACTCTTGTAGTGCTCGTGATTTTAGCCCAATTCTTCCACAGAATAACGATATTCGGTATTTTTGGGATTAAAGTCACATTTTCAGGAAAACTCCGTTACCAACAAAACCTATGGCTGCTGTGGAGTACAAAAAGCTTTGGAAATACTGGGCTGTCCATCAAGATCTGTTGGGTTCCAGGTCAATAAAATATTGCAGGCAATGAGAATGCAGATGAATTGGCAAGGCTGGGCCCCAAATCAACCATCATTGAAGTTGACCTTCACTCCATTTTGCACTGATATTAGCCATTATTTGCACAATAAATCTTAAATGGGATTAAGAATATATATGGGAGCTATATCCAGATATTAGCCGATCTCGATAAAAACATGCAAAGGCATTTCCGAGCTCTATAAGATATCTGATACCAAATATCATTGTTGTCGAATGCATATTAATAATGTGAGGGACTTTAAGACCAAATCGGATGAAAAATATATATGGGAGCTAAATCTATATCTGAACCGATTTTCACCAAATTTGATGTACTTGCTTCTAGACTGAATTCGGTTGGATGTGTCAAAATTCAGGTCATTCGGACTGATATTGGCCATTTGGTGTACAATTAACCTAAAATCGGTTGAAGATATATATTGGAGCTATATCCAAATCTGAACCGATCTTAATACAATTTATCATAGATATTTCTGGGCTGTATCTGATATCTGGTGCCAAACATAATTGTTGTCGAATGCATATTACTAATGTGAGGGGCTTAAAAACCAAATCGGATGAAACATATATATGGTATATATATTTGAGCCGATTTTCAGCAAAATTTAAAGCATTGGCTTCTAGGCTGAGATACGTCGAAAGTGCCAAAATTCAGTCCATTTGGGCTAATATTAGCCATTTGGTCCACAGTAAACCTGAAATGGGATAAAGGTATATATGGGAGCTATATCCAAATCTGCTCCAATCTCTTGACAGAAGTATTTCTGGGCTGTATCTGATATCTGGAACCAAATATCATTCTTGTAGAGTGTATATTACGCATGTGAGGGACTTAAAACTCCAAATTATATGAAACATATATATGGAAGCTTTAGCTATATCTGAAACGATTGCAAATCTACAAAAAAATGTGTATGCAGTTCCACGCATTCCTATAGCCCCCATATAACAATACCTCCCTAAATTCGGTATTTTGATGATTTTAGAGGTATTATTCACCAGAATTGTTTGAAATTTGGTATCCGAAGCTCAAAATGGGCACTGTAGCTTATTGCCTATGCAGGTCCCGTCTTCGTATAGTCCCCATATAACGATACCACCCGATATTTTGATGATTTAGTGGTATTTTTCACCGGAATTCGAAATCAGTCTTTGTTTGTTTTTCTACGGATTTTTTTTTTTTTTTTGCAATATTTCAAGTTTCTTCAAAATGATGGAAGGTATTAAAAATTCAGCCCGGCCGAACTTAGCTTCATTTTTACTTGTTCATGCTGGAAAGGCATTTTTGCAATTTTAGCTGCGATTCTGTAGAAAATTTCGTCTGAAATCTCAACATAATGAAAAACTTAAATTTTCTCTATACTGTAGGCAGGATACAAAAAATTGTATTTTATAATGATTTTCAAATTCCCTCCAGTATTCTTTTCTTTTAAATTCATTTAGTTTCCTTTTTTCTGTTGTCTAAATTGAATTTTAACAAAATTAAATTGTTTACATTCTGAAAGTTCATGTGAAATAAAATCCACGTGATATATCTTCAATGGCTGAACGTTTCGAATGTGAGAGAGAGCGAAAAAAATAACAGTTGAGATATCCATTGGAAGAAAACAAAAAAACTCTTCCTTAAGCGTAACACTCAATTACGTCCGTTCGTGATTGCAACAAACAACTTTTCAATCGCCACCCGTCCGACTGTCAGTCAGTCCGTCGAAGTTGGAAAGGAAACACAACTTGATTGGCTAACACCAAGAATTTCACACTTTTCATCAACACCACGAACTTGTTGTGAATTCTAGAGAACACGGAGCAAATGATTGACTAGATCACGTCGCCAGGCACTGCATCATGTCAAGTTGGATGCAAGTCCTGATGATGTTTGGGGAATGCCGCGAAGGTAGGTGTTAAAAGTATTGGGGTTTATTTAAAACTGACGTCGATTATTGGCTAGGGGATGGAATTCGATTTTCAAGAATGGAAAAATAAATAGGAGGGAGGGGAATAAATAAAAGCTAGATCATTAAGGAATGGAGAAAAAGCACTTAAGTTTATCATTATACCCTACACCACAAGGTGGTCAGGGTATTATGTCTTAGTGCATTTGTTTGTAACAGTATTTTTGTAAACAAAGTACAGGTCGCATTTATTGTCCGATCCAGATGAAATTTTGCACAAATCATTTGTTTGGCCCAAGGACGAACCCTATTGAAATTGGAGATAATCGGTCAAAAATTAGACATAGCTCCCATATATATCTTCGTCCGATTTACCTTTTATTGTGCACCAAACGTGAAATGTCAGCCCGAATTGTATGGAATTTTGCATATACAACCAAATTAGGCCTGAAAACATGTATGCCAAATTTGATCGAAATCGGTTCAGATATAGCTATAGCTCCCATATATATTGTTCATCCAATTTGTTATTTTTGTCCTCCACAGCCGTAATATGAACTCTGCAACAACAATATTTGGGGAAATATATCAAATACAGCTCAGAAATACATTTGCCAAATTTTATCGAGATCAGTTCAGATTTGAATATAGCTCCCATATATAACTTCGTCCGACTTACATTTTATTGTGCACCAAAGTCTAATGTTTGTCTAAATGGGATGGAATTTGTCACTTACGACCGAATTGAGTCTAGAAGCTAGTATGTCAAATTTGGTGAAGATCGGTTCAGATATAGTTATAGGTTCCATATATATTATTCATCCGATTTGTTATATTTGTTACCCACAGCCGTAATATGCACTCCGTAACAACGATATTCAGGGAAATATGTCAAATACAGCTCAGAAATATCTTTGCCAAATTTTATCGAGATCGGTCCAGATTTGGATATAGCATCATATATATTCTTATCCGATTTTAACTTAGCACCAAATGGGCAATACATGTCCGAATTTAAAAGATACAAATGCTTCGGCATATTTAGTCTTTTGTACTTTTAATTATAATTATAATCATGGCGTGTATGATTGAATTCTCCCATAAAAACTTTTAATTTTTATGTGAAGCTCTACTACATTAGCAAAGTGGTGTAGGGTATCATAAAGTCGGCCCCGCCCGACTTTTCTTTTTCTGGCCTAGAAATGCTATTGTTTACACATATTTACATTCTTGCACTTCTGGAACAGAGCATATGGCTACTCAAATTTGTAATATTGTAACTAATTTTGAAAAAGAAATTTCAAAATAAATTTGTAATCGGTATTCTATGTTTTGTCATCACTGTGTACATACATTATTGCATTTAATAATTTACTACTTACGATTTGTGAATAAGGTTATGTTTATTCATAAATCGCATGCTGTAAGCTAAGATGCAGTCGTCGTTGTTGTTATTGCTATTGCACTTTTAATTGTAGGTCAAATCATAGTGCAATATAGCGAATGATACATACATACATACATTTTGATAAAAAGAAATTATATTTTTTCATTTAAGTGTTGCAAACGATTAGTGCGATGAGTGGGTGTGTGGCTAGACGACGTGTGTGAAAAATTATCTTAAAGTGTACGCCATTTTGGCTTGATAGAAGGACAACACAAAAGAGGAGCGGGCGAAACTTCAAAAAAAAATTGAATTGCCAGGCCAACTTTGTCAATTGCAAAATAGAGTCAAGACATGTACCCATATATGAGCGTTATTACAAAACTTGGGCGTACACTAAAAATGAATAGGAGCCACGAAATAACTCACATCAGGGGCTACCTTTACATGAGGGCAATGCAAAATATGGACCAATAACAAAAATACTCTGTAACGAATGTTTGTTATATCCTCAGCCATATGGCAAGAGAGGGTATATATCATTCGATACAGCCAAAAAGTGTCTCAACGAAATAACGGTTTTAGACCCTAGGTCTCTTTGGACCAAATCCGTTTCAAGACATTTGGAGTCGATCTAGCGATGTCCGTCTGTCTGGCTGGTGCGCACGATCCAAACTTGGTACATCATAATATCATTGTCAAACTTAGATCGAGTTTGAAGATGATCGGTCTACTCATTCTGGTACCTCATCCACAAAATGTCAACATTTTCAAAGAAAATAATTTACTTCACAGAAAGAGAAAGGGTAATCCGAGTTTGCTCCAACTTTGCAAATATCTGTCCACTCCATCAAGTACCTCCCCAAAAATAGGTCAAAATTTTGAAAATTTTTTAAAATGTGATGTTAGTGTCCGTTTTTCTTCGAATTACACACATCACAATATTTGTATTAACCAAAGGTCTGGTGTGAGGATGGGATATATCCGTCCACTTCTTCTGGTACCTCTCCCAAAAAGGGTCAAATTTTGTATACCCATGAAGCCCATAAAACGCGAAAAAATGTCCGATTCCACTCAGACTTGGTACATCTCAATATTTCCATGAACACATGACCTGTTACTAATATGGTAGAAATCGGACAATTTCTTCTGGTACCTCCCCCTCAAAAGTTTAAAGTTTTGAAAAACCAAAACGATCATAAAATCCGAAATAAGCAACCGGTTCTCTTCATATTTCACATTTGCATTATTTCTACTAACACAAGATCTGCTCTGAATATGGAATATATCGGTCCACTCTTTCTAGCACCTCCTCCACAAAGGGTCAACATTTTGAATATCTATACAGCTCATAAAACGCGAATTTAATATCCGATTCCATACATCTCAATATTTCCATCAACAAAAGATATGTTATAAAGACGGTAGAGAGCGGACCATTCCTTCTGGTACCTCCCCCACAAAGGATAAAAGTTTTGAATAACCAAAACGATAATAAAATCCGAAATAAGCATCCAGATAAAACCATTATATGAGAGCTATAGCTTTATCTGCACCAAATTTAATGTACTTGCTTATAGACTGAATTCGGTAGCATGTGCCAAAATACAGCTCATTTGGACTGATATTAGTCATTTGGTACACAAAAAAACCTGAAATCGGATAAAGATATATATGGTAGCTATATCCAAATCTGAACCTATCTTGAAAAAAAATTTTTTTTTAATTATTTCTGAACTACAGCTAATATCTTGTACCAAATATCATGTTTCTAGTATAAATTCAGTTGGAATCGCCATAATTCAGTTGATTTGGGCAGATATTAGCCATATATACATGGGAGCTATATCCAAATCATAGATGATCTCGATCAAAATTTGGCTGAGGTATTTTTAAGCTTCATAAGTTATCTGGTACCAAAGTGCATATTACGCACGTGAGAGACTTAAAACCTCAAACCGGATGAAACATATATATGGGCGCTATGGCTCTATCTAAACCGATTTTCACTAAATTTTATGTACTTGCTTCTAGACTGAATTCTGTTGGATGTGCCAAAATGCAGGTCATTTGGATATATAGTGGTCATTTGGTGCACAATTAACCCGAAATCCGTTGAACATATATATGGAGGCTATATCTAAATTTTTCTCACCAATTTCAGTAGGGTTCGTTTCTGGGTCAAACAAATATTGTTTAAAAAATTTCATCTCAATCGGATAATAAATGCGAACTGCATTTTGTTCACAAGAATACATGGACGGACGGACAGATGAACTGGTATGCATAAATCGACTCAAAAAGTGATTCTATGAAGATCCTCAAAAGTAAATATGGGTCTATCTCGCTTCCTTCTTCCTGTTACAAACAAATGCACAAAGACATAATATCCTTACCACAATATGGTGTAGGGTATAAAAATGTTATTTGTAAACCATAAGAACGATATTTGTTATGGTACATATTACGTTTACATGTCTTAATGGGTGTTGGGTATAGATTGTTCCAAGTTAAATATGACTTAAACATGTTTGTAGGGAATATATAAAGTCATCTATAATGCTTCCATACCACAATAATTAGGCATTCCAATAATCACTTCCCTTCAAAATCCTAAATGTCATTGAAATCACAAATTTCAAATAAAACAAGTAAAAAGCTACAAGTTCGCCATATTCAAAAAAATGACATTCGCTATAAATTCTGTTAAAATCTTAAAAATAACAAATGTAGCCGTCATATTAGGGTCTAAACGACGACGTGGACCTACATAGGCAACTTTTGTCGTAAGCCATTCAAATGCGAAACTTGAAAAAAAATCGTGTGAATTATGTAGCTAAAATCATCAATACAGAGAGGTACTATTATATGGGGGCTATACCAAAATGTGGACCTGCACACACAATTTTCTGCCTTAGGCTGTAGTATCCATTACGAACTTCAAATACCAAATTTGAAACAATTCCGGTGAATATTGTCGCTAAAATCAACTAAGTACCGAATATCGGGAGGTATAATTATATGGGACTATACCAAAACGTGGACCGACATGGCCCATTTTCAATACCAAAAGTCCTGCAGGCGTAATATACATTTGAGTAAAATTTTATCAATCTACTTCATTTCGTTCGAAAGCTAGAGTGATTTCCACAGACGGACGGACATCGCTAAATCGACATAGAATTTTATGCTGATCAAGAATATATATACTTTGTGGGGTCTGAAATTTATATTTCGAGGTGTTTCAAACGGAATGACAAACTTGATATACCCTCCATACTATGGTGAAGGGTATAAAAATAGTAAACAAAATTCAGGCAAATTTTAACATTTTGTGTGGCTTTGAAAACCTGATAGAATACCATATTATTGCACTGTGCTCCCAAACTTAAAGCATTCAATCACAGTGTGTAGTTGCTTGTATTTCCATACTATGCGCTCATAATAAAAAAAAACCATCATCTGCCAGAGAGTATATCTCAAATACTTTTGTGATTTATAATAAGCCCTAAATTAACCCGCACCATTCAACATTTGCATCTGTATTCTTTTATCTTCACATGAAAGCATCCGAAGCATTTCCAAATTGCAATGGCAGCGTTGGTTGGATACCGACAT